TGCTTTCTCAAGCCATAGCAGAGTGCTGAATTGGAACAGGGGCAGCCAGGACTTGAACTGACACCCATAAGGAATGGTGGCATTGCAGGCCAGGGCTTTAACCAGCTGCACCACAGTGCCAGCCCCAATATGAAAAATCTTAACAATGTTCTATGTGAAAATTATAACATTGAGACTATCTTAAAGTATGTTGAATGAATCTGAAATATGTATTCCATTTTTAAAAAATACAGAAGGTACTTATCTCCTATTTTTTTAAAAAATTATAGTACTATTATAATAATGGTTTATATTAAAAGCATGTAAGTAAAGCTTTGTAGTATTTTACAGAAAAATTACATAGATAAGATTTGGAATATTTCTTCCTGTTTATGATTATCTAAATATTTTGATAGAATCTGTTCTTCATCTTTGGTACCATCTGTGGTCAATGAAGGCATTGGATTACCCTTGTCTTTAACAGTAGTGTGTGTTTTAACATACTTTTTATCTGTGTGATATTCTTGAAGTTTTATAAATATTTGGATTTTTTGTATGTGTCATAAACAGCAATCCTAAGAGTAGAGTTTGTGTCGTAATGGTTTCTTCCCATCCCCCAGCTCCGTGTGTAAGGTGGAGGCGTGGCATACCACAGTTACTTAAGTGAGAACACGCACGACTTGTTCAGTAAATGCAGTGCCGTGATTGCAGATTGAATTGGAGCTTACCTTTCACCAACCGTGACTAGGCTTTGCAGCTAATTTGGCATTTTTGATAACCTATTTGTACAGTCGTTGTCCTTTATCGCTGTGTCTGTGTCTTTCTGTGGTCTGTTTGCATAGGCACTCTGACATGTGCAAATTAAAAACTTTACACATACTTTATATATGTTTATGTATTTATAGGCCATTCCCTTCTAACGTTTTTGTCTTCTTTTCCCATCAACATTATTATTTTACGTGACTTTATTTTATGGGGTTAGCTGATCCAAATGCACTCACTGTGGGTTTGTAGGAAACATACCATTATATCACAGTTCCCTTTTTGAATTGTGCCACAGCAGTAGGAATCCAGTGATGATGGTCAACATTTAGGGAAGATTCAGGGGTTATTTTTCCTTCCCTTCAGCTGTGCTGGTTTCTGTGAGCATTCTTAGTTGTGTGTCTACAAGTAACAGAAGAAACAAGTGGTAGCTGTTTAGGGTTACATTGCTAAGCCCAACTAAGACTTGGCTTATCTGAGCAGTACATCGTGGCTTTTAGGAGGAGATGTGAGTTACAAGGAGAAATGCTCTTTGTTTTTTGGAACATGCTTTCCTAGATTATAGTTGTGCTTCATGTGGCCCAGTCTTTTATCTCAACTCTTTAATTTTATGCTGGAACTGAATGTGTTTTTGTTGTCTGCATCATTGGAACCTTTGAGTAGAGCCTTTTTGCTAGCATGGAGATATGAAGGGCAAGAGTTTGAGTAAGAGTCCAGGAAGTAGCTCTAGGAATGACTTTTGTATTGCCAGAAATGCTAATACGTTGGCACTGCATTAACAACTACAAAGATGTCATGAAACTGAAAACAAAGATGCAAGTGTTGTCGCCACAGCTGTGCTCACTTTGGCTGAAACCAGTTTCTTCCTGTCTTTTGCATAGTAAGTAATTTGAAGCCCCCTATTATAAAGTGAAAGTGAGTCCATTTTATGTGTGACACTGTAATGCAGCTGGGTACCCACAAATATCCAGGTTCCATTAGACCTGAATTAGGGCCATTTGTGCAGAATTGTCCCTTGCACCATGGATAATGGTTTGTTGACCAAATAGAATTTTTATCAGGGACCATGATGCCAACAGTTTTAAGAGTAAGAATTTCACTGGTTCATTAAGTATTTATTGAACACTCACTAGATACTCAATTTTAAGGCAGATGGAGTTTATACATCTCTCTCCTACAATGTAGAACATGGACACCATAAAATTTGTGTGTGTGAGTATGTGAGTATGTGAGTATGTGCATTGAAAACGAAAAGAGAGTTGATAGAAGGGACTTGTGAAGGAGGTTTATTTGAGATGTATGCTAAAAGTACCTATAATTTGAATATGTGGAAATTGGAAGAAATTTGAAATCCTGTTAAAGGGGAATAGTCTAGAGAGAAAAGAAAAAAAAAGAAGGAGCACAAATTGGGATCTCAAAGGGAGCTAGTCAGAGAATTTTGGAGAGGTAGGTTGGGCAGGTTAGCTGTGGGTGTACAATGCCAGATTAAAGAGAAATGAATGACTTCTGAGCAGAAGCTGAAGTGGTCACCAGCTATATGTTCCAGTGGTGGAGGGAACGAACACTTACCATCCTGAACATTGGGCTCCTCTGCTTCCTTTTAGGTCTGCTGCTCCTATCTTGTTAAGTGAGTCCTTCACCCTTTTTCTGGATAGGAACGCTGCTATTATTTTCCAGTTGTTTTTTCCTACTAGGACCACTTTTGCTCCTTAGGTCATAAAATCCTTTGAGGATTTTTACTTGTTTTTGTTCTGTTTTCCACGTAAAGATGTAATAGTTTATTTTTTTAAATATCTATTTTATTTATTTGAAATACAGAGTTACAGAAAGAGGTAGAGACAGAGAGAGAGGTCTTCCATCTGCTGGTTCACTCCCCAAATGGCCGCAACAGCTGCAGCTGCACCGATCCAAAGCCAGGAGCCAAGAGCTTCCTCTGGGTCTCCCATGTGGGTGCAGGGGCCCAAGGACGTGGGCCATCTTTTACTGCTTTCCCAGGCCATAGCAGAGAGCTGGATTGGAAGAGGAGCAACCGGGTCTAGAACCTAAGGGATGCCGGCGATTCAGGCCAGGGCTTTAACCCACTGCGCCACAGCGCCGGCCCCCAAGATGTAATGTTTTAGACATCTCAGACTTCATAGATGATCTAAATACGACTTTAAACTCTCAAAGCAGAGCTCTACTTACTCCTGTACAACTAAATATTACCAGCTTGTTCTCTAAAATTCAGTATATGGAAACAGGTCACGATGTCTGAGAGGAAGGCTCAGAGTGCCAGTGGATCGAAATATGAGTACCTGGGTAGATCAACCCAAGCCTGGAAGCCTCAGAAAACTAGGGAAGATTCCCCGACCCAAGAAACAGTCCCTTCTCTTTCCCTATCTCCCTCTTTGCCTCTGTCTTCTCTTCTACCCTTCTATCTGCTCACCAATCCACTTTTTCATCCATCATCTAGGTATTTATGCAATTAATGAAGCAAAGCATTGTGCATAATATTTATAGAACTGGGAAAGAAAACAGCAGTTGCAGAATCTCTAGGCAGAAGAAAATAAGAACATGTATATTCTGTTTTGTTTTCTCAAGATTTATTTATTTATTTGAAACTTAGAGTAAACAGAGAGAGAGGGAGAGGGAGAGAGAGAGGTCTTCTATCTGCTAGTTCACTCCCCAATTGGTCCCAATGGCCAGAGCTGCACTGATCTGAAGCCAGGAGCTTCTTCCAGTTCTCCCACGTGGGTACAGGGTCCCAAGGACTTTGGCCATCTTCCCTGCTTTCCCAAGCCATAGCAGAGAGCTGGATCTGAAGTCAAGCAGCCGGGATTTGAACCAGTGCCCAAATGGGATGCCGGCATTGCAGGTGGTGGCTTTACCTGCTACGCCACAGCACTGGCCTCAAGAGTATGTATTTTCGGCAAGCTGGTATACACAATTCTGACTGAGGTGATATAAGAGGTTCCATTACAGAAACACTGAAACAAGAAGGACTAGTACTTCCTTGGTCAATGAAATTCACAATGTAGTAGTTACATAGTTTTGATTTCATAGGGATTAATTAATTGGTATTTGTAGATAACAGTATTTTTGGCTGTTGAGGATTATATGTACAGTTATGTGCTGTTCCCTTCAGTATTTCCTTCCATTGGTATTTCTACAAGAGCATGCCCTAGGATAAAGCGTAAAGGTTATGCCCTTCCTTCTTTAAAGGCTAGTGCATTTACAGCTACTGTCCACCCACACCCACCAAAACTCCACATTTCAGGAATAAGCAAAGGTTAGCTAATAGAGTTATATTCAGAGTGTGTAGTAGTAATCCTTTTAATTTATGTGTCTATGAGTTGTTTTTATTTGATTACTTGAAGCTACTGTCATTTAACTCTGTTTTTCTCCATGCCAAGGCAAGTTGTATGAAATATCAAGTGTCTCTGGGAATTAACACAACTGTAGAAAAAGATTCTGTGTACATAGTTCTCACAGCTGGTTCTATATGCATGTTAATTCATGTAGATCCACCAAAAAGCTATTTTTCTCACCATCACATCTCTGACTTACAAGTCAGGATTGTTTTTTGGGAGACAATTACCGAGTGTCTAAGGGGTACTGTACTGTAGCCAGTCTGGGCCTCACCTTGTGCTTCAAGGGAGGATGAGGTGTGATTTTGGACTTTCCATACCAGTATACACTTCTCCCTCGAGGATGGAGAACTTCTCTGAGATCAGAATACATACCTCAATGACATGGTTCATATCTTCTTCCTACTCCCTTAACTGAAAGTTTTTGCATATAGTTGAAATTCACTAAATTTTACTAAATAATCATATTGGGATCTGGCATTGTGACATTGGGGATTAAGCTGCTACTTGTAGAACCAGCATCCTATACTGGAATACCAGTTTTGAGCTATGGCTGCTCCGGTTCCAGTCCATCTCCCTGCCAGTGTGCCTGCAAAGGCGGTAGATGAGGACCCAAATACCTGGGCCCCTACCATCCACGTGGGAGACCTGGAGGGAATTCCTTGCTCTTGACTTTGGCCTGGCCCAGCCCTGGCTGTTGCACCCATGTGGGGGAATGAACCAGTGAATAGAATATTCTCTATCTCTGTCTCTATCTCACCCCCTCTCCCTGTCACTCTGCCTTTCAAATAAATAAGTTTTTAAATAAAAATTATTTTTTAAAAATTGTTTTGACTTTTGATTGAGTTGGTGAAAATTAGGATTTTACTGATACTCTTATTTGAATTGTTTTATTGTTATTACTATCCCTAGGATGGGAAGAAGAAGTTTGACAAAGAGAGTGAAAAATACTATTCCATTCTTGACAAGCATTTAAATTTGTCTGCAAAGAAAAAGGAGTCTCATTTGCAAGAGGTAAGCTTTTCCAATTGATGCATGAAAAAAGCATTAAGTCATGTAAAGTCAAAATCTCCAAAGACAGAGTTGCACAAAATCTACTTCATTTAAATAATATAATGACAGTAACATTAGCTAACTTAATTAAGTACTCATTATGGACAGGTACTTTATAGAATTATGACATCAATATTAATAGTTCCAAGTAAAAGATCAGTATTTCCTTCAGCAATGAGAAATGTTGAAGCAAGGCTCCTTTTCTTCTTTTGGGGTATATTTCAAAGAGGCAGTGCCTATTAAATCATATCATGTCCTTTGTATTACATTTAAAATACTTGTGGTACTGTTTTTGAAGTTGTGTTTTAGCATTGAGGGATAAAGATATGAGTTTTTTTTTGGAGGGGGGAAGATTTATTTAGTTGAAAGGCAGAGTTGTTGAGACAGAGACAGATATCATCTGCATCTGCTGCTTCACTCTCCAAATGTCATTAACAGCCAGGGATGGGCTAGGCCAAAGCCAGGAACCAGAAGCACTGTCTTGGTTTTCAGTGGAGGTAGCAGGGGCCCATATTCTGCTGTTTTCCCATGTGCATTAGTAGGAAGCTGGCTGGGAAGCAGAGCAGCCAGGACTCCGACCGGCATTCATATGGGATGCCGGCATCACAGGTGGCTGCCTGACATGCTGCACCACAATGCCAGCCCAAATGTTTTAAAATCAATTCTTTTACAACTATTTTGTTTAAGAGCAAATGGATAAAAATATTTTACTAGCATATATACATGTAAGCAGTCTGTTTCTTCCTGTTGTCTGAAATACCTTCTATTTAATTCTGCCCATTGATGCTGTTTTAATAGTAGTTAGTAAAATCAACAGTAGTCCTTTTACTAATGAATAACACAGTTTCAGTGATGGCTTATTTCAAAAAACCAGACTCCCTGCCATTTTCACCTATGCACCAATAAAATCAAGAAGTAACAGCTTCACTGGGGCCGGCACTGTGGCTCAGTGGGTTAACACCCTGGCCTGAAGCCCCAGCATCCCATATGGGCGCGCCGATTCTAGTCCCGGCTGCTCCTCTTCCGATCCAGCTCTCTGCTATGGCCTAGGAAAGCAGTAAAAGATGGCCTAAGTTCTTGGGCCCCTGCACCCATGTGGGAGACCTGGAAGAAGCTCCTGGCTCCTTGCTTCGGATCGGTGCAGCTCCGGCCATTGCAGCCATCTGGGGAGTGAACCAGCGGATGGAAGACCTCTCTCTGTCTCTACCTCTCTCTGCAACTCTGTATTTCAAATCAATAAAATAAATATTTAAAAAAAAAAAAGCAGCTTCGTGTTCACTCAGTATATGGCAAAGTGAGCTCTGTGGTGGGATTTGGTGAAGCAGTTACAACTTACTACTGCTATCCAGTACTTCACAGGGAAACTGGTACTATGCCAAGTCTCGGTGAATCTCTTCCTCTCTTGATGATTTTAGATGAGAATGGAGAACCTCTTTCAAACCTACCCTCTGAGTCTTCTTCCTAGCACAGCCTGCCCTTAGCACAGCCTCCTCCTTTTCTACACACTTCCAAATTCAATCCAGTCTTCGGCTCTTCTAATTCTTCTTCTTATTTCTCCTGCTTCCAAGTGTTAGCTAGAATGCGTGCTTAACAAGTTAGAGTTTTATGAAGATTCCACAGCTACAGAAAGGAATGGGAATGTTGTTTTGGTGTCCGATTCCTCTTTTTTCCCCAATATACTCTTGTTAAGGGCATCAATTTTTTTCATTCAAAAATATTTGAGGTGTGGGCATTTAGCCTAGTGGTTAAGGATGCCTGCATCCCATGTCTAAGGGCCTGGATTTGACACCAGCTCCAGCTCCCGACTCTGGCTTTCTGCCAGTGCGGACCCTGGGAGGGAACAGTGATGGCTCAAATCCTGAGTTTCTGCTCCTCATGTGGGAGGTCTGGATTGCATTCCCTGCTTCTGGCTTTTGCTTTGGTCATTGTGGGCATTTGGGGAATGAACCAGAAGAAAGGATCTGTCAGTTAACTAACTAAGTAAATAAATAAATAATTAGAATGCAAAGATGTTCTAGTTGGGGAAATTTGCTTTGCTTCCTGTCTACCCATCTAATCTATTTTATGAGAGGCAGAGAAACAGTAAGAGAGACAGACATGAAGTGCTCCCATCCGCTGATTCATTCCCCAAATACTCACAAAAGCCAAGGCTGAATCGCCAGGAACTGAATCCAGGTCTCCCATGTGGATAGAAGTGACCCAACCACTTCAGCATTACCTGTTGCCTGTCCTGGTCTGCATTAGCAGGAAGCTGGAATTGAACCAGGAATTGAACCCAGACACTTCAATATGGAACACAGGCATGTGAATTGCCATCTTAACCTCTATGCCAAATGCCTGCCTCTGTTTGATAATTGTACATGAGCTCATTATAATCTGGGCCTTCTTATTAGTGTGTGCTATTAAAATAGTACAATTTAATATACAATTGTGTGTTTATGGAAAAGTTTTGTGGCTAAACTGAAATGGAAGACAATCTGCTATATTAAAAAAATGACTGCTTGCTGTCATTTAATATTATGTTTCCATGTTCAAAATGCCTTCCATGCTTATATTTCTCCTTATATGTTACACTATAATGAGCCTGTGAGAGAATGGGTGTGTGGGTGTGGATATAGCCCTGTGGGGAAGAGTGTCCCTAGTTACCGCCCATGCACCATCATCTGTTCTGCTGAGGATTCTGGCTGGGTGCCATATTAAAAATTGATGGTCTTAAAGCCAAGGGTGGGTTTTAGAGTCCCTAACAAAATTTTGATGCTTGGCAAATAGGGGAGGCCACCTTTAGACAATCCACTACTTCAACAATCTCAAGGAAATAATAACTTTAAGCCCTCCAGAGGGTATGTTTCAAATTTCTCTGAAAACCTAGCTCAATATTTAATCCTTTCCTTGCTAGTAGCCCTCAGTTCCTTAGGCTATCATATAATAGAATGTTTGTTCTGGTTCTGTACATATTTGGAGGCTGGGAAAGAGTATAACATCCTCCTCCCACCTCACCCCACAAACACACAAACATGCATGGCTTCTTTTCCAGGTAGTATAGCCCTCATGCAACACAGTCCAACATGACAGGTTGGATTAAAGCAGATCCTCTGGGATATATAATGCAGACAAAGAACAGTGTGGCTTGACGTTCCCCTCATCTCCTCCAGGAGCCCTTCCTGTTGTAGGGAGATGCTGCCACAAATATATTTTAATTCTGTGACATGGCATAAAATGTCATCAGTTCCGTTCCAGAGCAGCTCAGGTCCTTCTGTCAGCACCAAGCTTGTTAACTTGTCCTCAGAAAGATCCCTTGGTGCCTTCTCAGCTGCACAGTTGACTGCTTATTCATTTTATGTAAGTGGCTGCCCATTTCCAGGACTGAATTGAAGGGTCAGCGTAGGTTGATAAAGATCCAAGGCCATCAATTAGATGGGTCATTGGAGTCTACAACCAGAGAAAGGGAAACAAACTTATCAGGATGAATAGAAGTCATATTTAACATGTGAATGAATAATTCCTTTCTAACAATAAGGGTAAGATATAATAAAGGAAATTTTGAAAGATCTAGATGCATAAATATATGTAATCAATTTCCAAAAATATTAAACTAAATAAAATGGCAATGAAATAAAGAGTCTAAACAATTTATGATACGGGATTACCATCTCTTATGTACTGAAAACATTTGCAGGTCAGTGTGAAGAAAGATACAAACATTTGAGTGGGAAAAAAGAAACTGGGCTGAAGACAAGGGTACTCATCAAAGAGGAAATATCAAGTATAATAAATATTCTTAGTTTCTAAGTCATATATTTTTAAAAATGCAAACTAATACTAAGATGTAATTTTAACTGATTAAAAGTTAATACCCATTGTTAATATGGGAAACAGGAAATACTTTGGCTATCCTGGTGGGTACATAAAAAGATTCAATCATTCCTGGGGCCTGCATTGTGAAGGGGGATAAGCCATTCCCTGCGACACCAGCATCTTATAGTGGAGCTCCTGTTCAGGTCTCAGCTGCTGTATTTCTGATCCAGTTTCCTGCTACTGAACCTGGAAAAGCAGCGGAAGATGACTCAAGTACTTGCCATGTGGGGAACCCAAATGGAGTTCCTGGCCCCTGGTTTCAACCTGGCCCAACTCCAGCTGTTTGCAGCCATTTGGAGAGTGAACAAGCAGATGAAAGATCTCTTTCTCCCTCTCAGCCTCTCTTCTCTCTCTCTCTCTCTCTGCCTTCAAAAAAAAAATCAGCCATTCTTGAAGTAAATTTGACATTGCATTTTAGCAAACCTTAAGTATACATGATAGTTGAGATGAATCTCATTAGTAGGAATATATTCCCAAAGATACTAGACATAAGGATAAAAATAAATTGTGTAAATATGCCAAACCAAGAATTATACACAATGCAAAAATTTAGAAACATCTGAAATGACACAATTGAATAATTTTGGATGAATATAAATAATAGTTGGACTAAAAATGGAATGTTATATGGCTGTAAAATGTTTTATTTGGGAAATCATTTGACATGGCATAGAACATTATGCAGAGGAAAAAAAATTTTAAACCAAAGTGTGGTATAATCCCAGGTTTGTATTAAAGTCAATTTGTGCATGTGTATGTGATCAATATCAAAGTATTAACAGTGGGATTTCACCTATCTCTATATTTCCCTGTTACAGAAAAGAATAACAAATGTAGATTAATGAATACTTATTACATTTCTAACTGGAAGAAAAACTAACAAGGAATGTGGATTCCTTTTAGAAATCCAGAGTCTTATTTCCTAGCTATCATTAAATACTGCTTTAATAGGTTCCTTTCCTCCTAAGTGAAGCAAATCCCTTGGGTTCAGTCTTATGCCTTGATTCTTTAATTTATATCCCTGAAGTCTCTCCTCTTTGCATACTATCTATGACATCTTGGTAAATGTCTCCCATGTCAGGACCATGTCGTGTCTGGTGATCATTGCACTGTCCAAAGTCACCGGGACTTTAAATTACCACATCTTAATGATTCATTGGCAATCTTTACACATCACCGTCTTTCCCAAATAGTTCCTTTTTCTCATTTTGTTTAGTTTTCTGTTATAATCACATTATTTCTGGTGTCAAACTTGTCTTTGATCTTTTCTTTGCTTTTCACACTTTAGTTTTATCTTTCTTGTTGGGGTGCACCTGTCACTTTTGCCATTACCAATTACAAGATCTTATATTCACACTCAGCCCCACCACTTAATCAGTGTATCCTATACCATTCTCATTTTAGTCTTGAAATGCAGTTGGTTTGTTGTTCATACCTCCCTCGAGTTTTTATAGTATCTATAGGAGGAAGTCTGCACTCATTCTATATTTTCTTTCTTAACTGTCATTTAATTTGGGCTGGATTACTCCCAGCCCAAACTTTTAGTCACAAACTTTTTTTTGGATGTAAACATAGTTTATGTTTTGCTGTGTTCCCTCACTCAAGCACTTTTCATTTTATCTCTACCTTCTCTAAACCTAACATTCTTCAGAGCCCAGCTTAAATCTTTTCTCCTTTGGGAATGATTCAACAAATACCATTGAGTCAACAAATACCAAATTTCCCTCACTTTGAATTGAGAGGGCTTATTGGAGTTAGGGAGGAATTTGGGTATCTGCAGAGCCATATGGTTTTCCTATGAAATTAATTCAGTCTCTGACTTTACAGTCCCTTTTGCCATGTAAACAACAGCTTACACCTGTTGTTCTGGCATAATTATTACTAGTGCTCCCCTTCAGTTTTAAAATTGTCCCAATTCAAATGATAAATCATGTGGTTATCCTACTTATCCAGCACAAAATAGCACCAGTCACTGGTGAGTTTAATATCAAGTATTTCCTAGTGAACCACACACTATGAGCTTATGGACTAAAGCAGTTCATCCCAAGTAAAAGAATGCCTTTCTAAGTCTTGTACTGAAAGGGAATTAAGCTGTCATATTACTTAAGTAGTATACACTCTGGATGACCTTTCATTGCAGCTTTGCCATATCGAATTTCAGTTGTCCATATTGGAGGTGATGAAAACATCCACAGCTGGCCCAATGGCAAGAATCGTCATTTCTCTTTCATCCTTTTTCTTCCCTCCTACTTTCTGGGGTGTGTGGGTGAGATGATATTGCATACAGCAAATAAGTTTTGAAGACATGACTTAATGCTTTTGTCAGGGATCCCCAAACCACCTCTAGTTTTATGACTTGCTAGGAAAACTCTCAAACAGCTCTGCATTTAGTCATATTCTTGGCTCTCCTTTATTAACAGGGAAAGGATACAAAAGAAATATCAGCAAAGGGAAATTGTGCCTGGGCAGAGTTTGGAGATAACCGGGTACAACCTTGTAGGAGTCCTCTCCCCATGGAGACATGGACATGCTCAATTCCCCAGTGAGAAATGTTGTCTATCAGGGCAGCTGATTAGAGATTCAGTGCCCAGAGTTTTAATTGGCAGTTGGTCACGTGGGCACCCTCTGCCTGGCTCCCAGAAGGAAACGAAGTGCTTGCCATAAGCCATGTTATTTGCACAGTTTAGGTGTAGTGAGTCACTCCTCTCAGACTGATGGAAAGCCTCCTGACATTCGCATTCCCAAACAGCAGGCATGGCCAACTTTGTAAGCAGAACTTTTGAAAGATAGCTATCAGGCCTGCTGTGCTGACTCCTGCACAACCTGTTGACTATAAACAGTCATTTTAGGCTCTACAGATGTCTCAACGTTCTAGTTTGTTCCCATGTGCTAGGCAGCACAATCAATGGCATTACCTTTTATATTAAAGTAAATGAAACCTTCAAAACAGCTTGTGGAATAAAATGTTGCCTCTGAAGCTGAAAATATCCTTGCGTCTCTTACACCTTGTGTGGACTGGTGCTTGCCCCAGAGAGCCCGTTTGAGCTCCTTGTTCTGACTCCTGCATTCCATGATGCTGGGTTTGTGGTTTGAAATTAGCCATTGGACGACTGTTTACACCACAGAAACCAGCAATACTGCAAATCAGGCCTTTACCCCAGAGTCACTTGTTAAACATTGACTGGCATGCCACCACCTATGCCTCACGATTGTCTTAATTCATCATACGTTCCAGGGGCAGGAGACTTTTTTTCTACCAGGGGCTGTTTGTATATTTATAGCATCATTCTCGGGCTAAACAAAATTATCAACTTAAAAATCTGCCTGCTATAGATTAATTGAATTTCAAGTCCCATCTGCACTTGCCTTTGTGGAGTCAGACCAAATGATTTTGTGGGCGTTAAACAGCCTGCAGGCTGGACATTCTACACTCCTACCATGATGGTGAAAAGAAGAGAGATACGATGTATCTGGAATAGTACTTCTCTTTCTGTTGATTTCTTAATTTTCCTAAATGATCTTTGGTTTTCAGTTAACATCCCCTACCTGATTAAATAATATATTTAAGTAATATATTTAATAAAATAATATATTCTTCACATGTACATGTGTTAGTTTGAAAACTTGGAATCCTTCACTTTAAAGATCCCCAATGAGTTGCTGATATTGGGCTATTTGTAATTGTATATAAAAATGTATAGTGGGGCCAGCGCTGTGATATAGTGGTTAAAGCCACCACCTGCAGTGCCAGCATTCCATATGGCAGCTGGTTCGAGTCCTGGCTGCTCCACTTCAGATCCAGCTCTCTGCTATGGCCTGGGAAAGCAGTAGAAGATGGCCAAAGTCCTTGGGTCCCTGCACCAGCGTGGGAGACCCAGAAGAAGCTCCTGACTTCAGATTGGCTCAGCTCTGGCTGTTGAGGCCAGCTGGGAGTGAACCAGTGGATGGAAGACCTCTCTCCCTCCCTCTGCCTCTGCCTCTCTGTAACTCTGCTTTTCAAATAAATAAATAAATAAATAAATAAATCCTTTAAAAAATGCATAGTAAGTATACCTAATTGTGTTTAAAGGGGTTCCAAGTGAAGTGTTAAGTTGCTGTGCCATCCAAGGTGGCAAACTTCTAGCTTTTGTGTGTGTGTGTTTTGTGTGAAATTACTGTGTAAATGACTCCAGAGCAATTTTTTGTTCACAAATTATTGTTGATGGATACTTATTCTGCCAGGGAGCCCCTTTTCATCTGCCTTCATTACTCTCAGCAGTCAGCAAGGAGCGTGAAACTGGGCAAGGAAAGGCAATCATATCTCTCTACCAAACCAATCACTTTCACAGGGTTCATCTGATGGTGATAGGGGGCATAGAAGAGAGAGGAGAGGCAAGTCAGAGAGACAATGAAATTATCTCAGTGATACTCTCCCACACTGGATCAATTGAACTTTATTACAATGAGAAAGAGTAATGTGCCTGACATTGAGAGAGCTTGATTCATCAGGTCAAAATCATTGAAAAAAATTTTTTTGGCTCTGTTACTGGTTATTATCTTTCCAAGAGTTTACCTAATGATGTGGCCCTCCCATTTACTATTCACAAGCACTTCTCCTCAAGTAAAATTCAGATTTATTGTACAGTAGACAAAATGTTATAGCTCTTTTGTCATTTTTTTAACTGAAATGAGTGTTGTATGATTGCTCTGTGTGTGTGTGTGTGTGTGTGTATTTGTGTTTCTCTCCCTATTTATAAGATCTAAGCAAGGACTATCATAAATACTTCATGAAAACTTTTTTCGGGAGTTAATTTTTAATGAAAACTTCAGCATAGGACAGGAATAATGTCTCTCTCTACATAGTACCATCAGTAATTACTCCCTGTGTCTGCTTGCCTCTTTTCCTCTTTAGGCAGATACACAGATTGACCGAGAACATCAAAACTTCTACGAAGCATCATTAGAATATGTCTTTAAAATCCAAGAGGTTCAAGAGAAAAAGAAGTTTGAATTTGTTGAGCCGGTAAGTTTTAGATTCCTTGTAAAATACTAGACTCAAAGTAATCTATATAAAAACTTTACAGAGTTCTTTGGTTGAAAGTTATGAAGGTAGTAGGGTAGTCATCAGTAGGTGGAGTATGGGGTACTTTTAGGGCAGTGAAAGTCTTCTGCCTGCTACTGTGATGGTGGATGAGTGCCATGCATTTGTCAATATGCATAGAGTGGATGTGACAAAAAGAGAACCCCAGTGCAAACTAAGGCTTCAGTTAACAGTGTGTCAACATGGGCTCATCAACTGTAGCAAATGTACCACAGAATGCCAGAAGTGAGTAACTGGGAAAACAGCAGTTTTGGGGAATGCAGGGGTGGCGGAGTGGGTGAATGGATCAGCCAAGAGGGTACTTATGGGAACTCTCCATAATCTTCCCTCAGTTTTTTGGTAAATGTGACATTGCTCTGAAAACAAAGTGTATTTTTTAAGACTGTACATTACCTATAAATGGATGGGCACAGCTCCCCCCTAATGTGACACATTTAGCAAACCTTTAGATGAAGGGAGAAATGTAGGGCTCTCTTTCTCCCTTTGTTCTGTGCCCCCCTCCTTACATGGCTCGGATATGCCTGACTTTCCAATGAAGTCATTTATTTTCCTAAGTTAGTGTAAAAATTAATGGATTCCCTAATGTAAACTGCATTACAGAACAGAACAGGTGGCTGGTTTTTATAAGCTTACTTCATTTTCTTGGCATTTTTTAAAAATGATACCCTCACATGTTACAATATTCCCTGAGCAAGCATCTTCATAAGGTGGCATCCACGATGATTAACGGTAAGCCTTAGAGTTAAGATAATAGTGGAATACATATGAAGGTACTTCAAAAAGTTCATGGAAAATGTGGAATTAAAATACAAATTCAGTGCAAAAAATGAAATCTGTGTATAATATATACACATAATACACTTTTTATAAGATCCATCATATGTGTGTGGATTTATATATGTATATATATTTATTTATAGGTGTGTAGTTGTGTGTGTGTACATGGATAGATCCATACATTAATCAATCCCCATGAGATGAGAGGTCAGGAATAATAAATACATCAGTATGAAATATCTAATCTAAGACATTATTTTCTTCCTATGTCAGTCTTTCAAAAATGTATTGATACGGGCCAGCCACCTGGAATGTCAGCACCCCATATAAGTGTGGGCTCTAGACCTGGCTGCTTCACTTCTGATTCAACTCCCTGCTAATATAACTGGGAAAGTAGCAGAAGACAGCCCAAGTGTTTAGGCCCCTGCATCCACATGGGAAACCTGAATGGAGTTCCAAGCTCTTGGATTTGGCCTGTTCCAGGCCTGTATCAGCCATTGCTGCCAGTTGGGGAGTGAACCAGCAGATGAAGCATCTCTGTTTCTCTCTGTCTCTCCCTCTCTTTCTCCCTGTAACGCTACCTTTCAAATAAATTTTTTTAAAAAGAACAAAATGCATTTAAATAAAAATGAAATACTCTGTTCTTACCGTAGTGGAGGTTATAGTAATAAGGGAGAGAAAACAGCATTTCTAAGATATGTTTACATATACATAATTCACTTTTAAAAAAAAGATTTATTTATTTATTTGAAAGGCAGAGTTGCAGAGAGGCAGAGGCAAAGAGGGAGAGAGGTCTTCCATCCACTGGTTCACTCCCCTAATGACCATAACAGCTAGAGCTGGGCTGATCCAGAGCCAGGAGCCAGGAGCTTCTTCCAGGTCTCCCATATGTATGCAAGGATCCAAGGACTTGGGCCATCTTCTACTACTTTCCCAGGCCATTAGCAGAAAGCTGGATCAGAAGTGGAGCTACCAGGACTCAAACTGGTGCCCATATGGGATGCTGGTACCACAGGCTGAGGCTTTACCTACTTTGAGGAGAAACTAGGACAGAGCAGAGTCTGGAGACAAGTTGGCTGCCTCCCTGGCTTCCAGGACCTCTGCTTTGCTGGAGTTGCCTGTCTCCTGTAAACTAGGCAGCTGGCAAGTTTCTAAGACCAGTCCTTCAACCAGCAGGATTAAGGAACTAGAGGTTCAGGCTCAGGGATTTAACTTTTACCTTTTATTTGGGATAACAGACTTGAGTCCAAAATCTGTTTCCCAAACAGCTAAGTCCTTAAATCCCTTTGAATGATTGGTTACCTCTTAGGTTATTGACCCTTTGGGGACCTGATTCAGCTTTTCGTGACTTAAGGGGACTTTTGAAGTTCTGGGAATCCTGTACCACTGGCCATCTTACCAAATTCTAGAAAGAAGCTCACTGTTCCTCTTCTCATTACCTGAATCCTGCCCCAGAATCACACCATGGGTTTTGAATCCTCACTACTTGCATCTTTGCTCCCTAAGTCTCTTTTATAGCTCATGCTGTCTGGGAACAGTGAACCATGCCATTTTGTAAGATGACATCAGATATATAAAGAGAAGATTGTTCCATAGTTAGCTCACAGGTGGCAGAAAGAATGATAAGAATTTATGAATTCCTGCTGAAAGACAAATAGAGAAGCAGAGTTGTTCCTCAGTTGAGATGTACTTTTTTCCTTGCCTCTACCTTATCCCGAATTGTGATATTGTGATAAATCTCCTATAATGCATGCCTTTCTTATGACACTACAGTCAAAATCAATGTTAACTTTATCCTTCTTCCAAAATACTTTCTGGACTGCTGTGTTTTTCCTATTAGAGTGTCTGGCCAAGCCAAATAGTAGTCAGTTCAGTCTCACCCTCATTTCTAGCCTCAAAGTCTCATCCATGGAGTTTTCCTGAATTTCCATTTCAGTGACGAGAAGAATAGAAATGGGAGCAATGAAACATGAGCCTGCATCTTGACCTTTTAAAAATAATTTTAAAGTGTTTATTTGCATATTTGAAAGGCAGACTTATATAGAGACAGGAGGAGACAGAGAGAAATCTTCTGGCTATCTACTGGTTCATTCCCCCAAATAGCCACGATGACTGGGGCTGGGCCAGGCCAAAGCCAGGAGCCTGGTACTCCATCCAGGTCTCTTACATGGGTGCATGTGCCCAAGGAGTTGGACCATCTAATACTTTCCCTGATGCGTTAGCACGGAGCAAGATCAGAAGTGGAACAAGCGGGACTTGAACCAGCTGGTTTTGCAGATGGCACCTTAACCTGATGTATTAGATTATGCTTCTACAAATTAATTTGAAAGAAAAAAAGTTTTAGATTTTCAAAAATAAAATTCTCCACATCTGTGAATAAAAAAAAAAATCAACACATGAGGACACTTTAGTGTCTTAGTGATTTTCATTCTAGTAAAATCCAATTCCTGTTGCATATTGCAGAAATTTAGCAGTCTGTTCTTGTTTTAGCCCAGACTAATTTAACAAATAAGCAATGGAATAAAGCAAATTTGCTAAGGAATCTATCTCATATAGATTGCGCAGTATCAAGTAGAATATAAAATAGAGACAGTTGATTCATATTAAATAATATTCTTATTCTACATTGATACTATTATTTATTTGAGAGGCAGAAAGATACAGACAGAAAGACGTAAGGTAGAGAACTCCTGTTCACTAGTTCACTCCTAAAATGCCAGTGACAGCCGGGTTTGGATTGGGCCGAAACTGAGAGGCTGGAACTGAATCCATGTCTCCTACATGGGTGGCGGTGACCTAGCCATTTGAGATATCACCTGCTGCCTCTTAGAGTCTGCATTAACATGATGCTAGAATTGAGAATCAGATGCAAGCCAGTGTACTCCAGTATGGTCTGTGGTTGTTCCAAACAATATATTAATGGCTAAGTCAGTTGCCCACCCCTACAGTGATACATTTGAGATATTCTTAAATTATTATAGTGAATATCAGTTTATGAATTTTTGACCATTATGAATAATGTTTCATAACCATTCATGTATGTTTGTGTAGAAATGTGTTTAAATCCTTCTTGGGGTATGGAATTGTCAAATAAATATGGTAACTCTATGTTTAATCATTTGAGGAACCACCAGACTATTTTCCAAAGTAGCTACACCACTTCACATTCTCACCATAGCATATTAGGAATTCAGTTTCTCCACATCCTCATCAATACTTGCTATTATTCCCAATTTTAAGACTAGCCACCCTACAGATTATGAGATCTTACCTCACTACCATTTTAATTTGTATTTCCTTGATAATTTACAAGTCAAGTATCTTTTTAAGTGTTTACTCTTTACATGTATTCTTTGGAGAAATGTTTATTCAGATTTTTGCCTATTTTTAACTTTGCTAATTAGTCTCTTCATTACAAAATTACAAGAGTTCTTCATAAATTCTAGATGCCAGTCTCTTATCAGATAATTTGCATATATTTATCCCATTCTTTGGATTTTCTTTCAATTTTTTGACACTGTACATTGAGTCACAGCAATTTTTAATTTTGATGAAATCAAATAATTGTTGCTTATGCTTTTGATATGTCAAATACAAGATTTTGAAAATTTATTCCTATGTTTTCTTCTATGTGCTTTATAATTTAAATATTAAATTTAGGTCTTTGATCCATATTGTTACTTTCTTTATCATGAGATATAGGTCCAACTTCATTCCTTTGGCTGTGGTTATCTAGTTGTCCCAGCATAATTTCTTGAAAAGACTGTTCTTTCTCCATTGTAGTCTGTTGACACTATTGAAAATCAGCTGATCATAGATGGGTGTAGGGGTATACTTGTAGACTTTTAGTTCTATTCCCTTGATTCTCAATCCCTGTGCCAGTATCATACTATTGATTATTATTTGCTTTACACTGAGTGCTGAAATCAAGAAGAATGAGTCTTTCTATTTTTTTTAAATTATCCTTTCCATATGAATTTTAGAATCAACTTGTCAGTTACTAAAATGATGTTAGCTAGAATTCTGATAAGGATTTTTGCTGACCCTGTAGATCCAATTTGGGGAATATTACTCTCAGCGATTTTACCAATCCATGAACATGAGATAGTTTCCATTTATTTGGACTTTTTTTTCTTTATGCAGTG